CTTTGATGGCCAGAGAGCACATATTTAAGGCTTTGCGGGCCACATGGTCTCTGCCACCACTATTCAACTCTGCCATAGCACAAAAGCAGCCACAGACAATAGTGTAGTCCACTAAAACTTCATTTGTGGGCACTGCAATTTGAATGTCATGTAATTTTCATGTGTCATCAAATTATTCTTTTTTTGCTTGACTCTCCAACTATTTAAAAATGCAAAAACCATTTTTTTTTTTTTTTTTTTTTTTTTTTTAGCTTGGAGGCCATACAAGAAACTGGTAGTGAGCCACATTGGGCCTGTGGGTTGTAGTCAGTTGACCACTGATTGAGTTAAATGTTTGTTTATTTTGAGAGACAACATGCACCAGCGGGGGAGGGGCAGAGACACAGGGAAGAGAGAGAATCCCAAGCAGGCTCCATGTTGTTGGCACACAGCCTGACACAGGGCTCAGTCTCATGAACTGTGAGATCATGACCTGAGTCTGATGCCTAACTGACTGAGCCACAAGTCCCCCCTGCTGACCACTGATTTAAATTGATCATATTCTTTCTTAATTTTGTTTCTTCCATGAGTCTGTGACCATATGGCTTTAACTACTTTGTGTCACTCAGAGGTGATAGAAAATAACTTTGGGGGCACCTGGGTGGCTCAGTCGGTTAAGCATCTGACTTTGGCTCAGGTCATGATCTCACGGTTTGTGGGTTCGAGCCCCGTGTCGGGCTCTGTGCTGACAGCCAGCTCAGAGCCTGGAGCCTGTTTCAGATTCTGTATCTCCCTCTCTCTCTGACCCTCCCCTGCTCATGCTGTCTCTCTCTCTCTCAGAAATAAATAAAACATTAAAAAAAAGAAAAGAAAAAAAAAAGAAAATAACTGAAAAGCTGCTTCACTCACTTGTTTGGGGAAGAGCACTCCCAGAAGGAAAAGTATCTCACTTCCTCTGCCCTCTGGATTGATTTCTCTACTTCTTAAACTTTTTGAATTTTTTGACTTAGAATGGTAACACTAAGCTGACCAAACATGCAAGGGATTGATCCCACTAACATTTAAAACCAAAATTTCCTTACTTCCTTGTTATCTGTCAGTGTGAAAATGAAATGTCTTGTCCTAATGATGTCTCAACTATGAATGCCAAAAAAAAAAAAAAAAAAAAAAAAAAAAAAAAAAAAAAAAAAAAAAAAAAAAAAAAAAAAAAACCACCAAAAAACAGGGGGAGAGGCAGGGGATGGGAGTGGGGAGGAGAGTACATACTAATTTCCTACGCTTCAAAGATTCAATTCTTTGTCATAAAGGGTCAAAAAGCAGAAGTTGTCTAATAAATGTTGAAAGGAGTAAAGTAATAGTTTATCAGTTACTCTTTAAGTAGCTATTCAGGGACTCACATTTCTTACCATCTATCCTGTGCTACTTTAGTTCAAGAAAAACCTGTAATCTATTTTTCCAAAAAATTAACACTAGTCTAGAGGCAGCATTATACTTCAAATAGAGATATCAGATACACTAGGATCCCTTCTAGCATTGCACTTACACACATTCCAAAATCAGGAACACGTAAGAGCAACACTAATCTTTTTAAAAAAAAATTTTAAATGTTTATTTCTGAGAGACAGAAACAGAGTGCAAGCAGGGGAGGGGCAGAGAGAGAGGGAGACAGAATCCAAGGCAGGCTCCAGGCTCTGAGCTATCAGCACAGAACCTTGATGCAGGGCTCAAACCCATGAACTGCGAGATCATGTCCTGAGCTGAAGTCTGACGCTTAACTGACTGAGCCACCCAGGTGCCCCTGGAGCAACATTAATCTTAAATATTGAATTTCTAAACAAGTTTCTGTTTTTGTTTCTGTTTTAGCATTGCTCTTGCAGTATTTACAATGTTTTAAAACAAGATGAAAACAATTCCCCTCCCAAATTTTGTACATATTAATGAAGAATGTATTTTTGTCTTTTCCATATACGACTAATGAATGAATGACTGCCAATTAAGATTTGCTTCATATAAGAGAGGGTCAAGGTGGCAGCATAGGAGGGTCCTGAACTTCCCTCCTCCCATGGATATACCAAATGTACAGCTACACATAGTGTAATTCCCTTTGATAGAAATCCAGGAACTAGGGACACTTGGGTGGCTTAGTTGGTTAAGTCTCTGACTCCTGAACTTTCAGTTCAGGTCATGATCACACGGTTCGTGAGATAGAGTCCGGCATCAGGCTCTGTGTGACAAGTGTGCAGAGTCAGCTTGGGATTCTCTCTCTCACCTGTTCTCCCTGCCTCTTCCACCTTCATGCTCTTTCTTATCTCAAAATAAACAAAACAAAACAAAACAAAAAATCCCAACCAAACCAAAACAAAAAAAAAAACAAAAACGAAACCCACCAACTACATGACTGACTCCTACACATCAGGGGAATGAAAAAAATATCCACATCAAAACAAGTAGGAAAGGCTGAGACACTGTCACCACCAACTCTACCCTGGGCACAGGGACAGTCAATTTGAAGAGAACCCCCAACACTAACTCCCTAGCTTCTCCTGAGTGAAGGATTTGAGCAACACATCTAGCACCCCAACTTTTAAGATTCCCATTCAAGGAATGGATCACCACCCACACACTTACTTATGAAAGCCATAAGTAAGTATAAGGCTTGGTTCCATGAGACCCATATGACTGTAGCAAAGAAGTTCACAAAGTCACAAGAGCATTTGCCTCAGTGTACAGCAAAAACACTCATCTTGCAGTCTTTCCCTGAAGGATGTGACTGCACAATTTACAAGCTGCTGTCTGAGGGTCCAGTTTCTGACTTAGCACACATTTAGAAACAAGCTGCGATCCTCCTAAGAAGCCCAGGGAGCCAATGGACACTTGCCTTACCTTCTCCCTCTGGTTCACTCCAATGATAAAATCAGATCACCAGCATCTACCTGGATGAAAAGAGCTTTTACATGTGTCTTGGCACCTCAGCTTTTGTGGATGCCATGTAAGGGACCCTGGATCATTTCAAATAGCCAATGGGATTTGCATTCATGACTCCTACAGTACAACAGCAAAGAATCAGTTTTTATTTTATTTTTAGTTTTTTTAATGTTTATTTATTTTTGAGAGAGAGAGAGAGAGACAGACAGGGTGTAAGCAGGGAAGGGGCAGAGAGAGGGAGACAGAGAATCTGAAGCAGGCTCCGGGCTCTGAGCTGTCAGCACAGAGCCCGATGTGGGGCTCAAACCCACGAACCGTGAGATCGTGACCTGAGCCGAAGTCAGACGCTTAACCGACTGAGCCACCCAGGGACCCCAAGAATCAGTTTTTAAACACATTCAGGAAGACACTCCTGCAGCTATTCAACTGAGGTCAGCATAGAGGAAGAAGGCAAACATGCCCATCTCCCAATTTCTCTCTGGAAGGGCCTTAACCACATACATTCCCTGACGACCTGCTAATTAGCAGTGGCTTATCAGCCTGCATCTAGGTGTTGGCAATTCTCCCCTTTGGGATACTGATGGGTCTTGGCACACCCTCAATTACCAGGGACCACTAAAAACAAGATGGTGGCTTGGACAATCATGAAGAGAGACAACCAGGAGCTCAGACTAAGCTGGCTAATGAGGTTTACCTCCTACACAAGACCAACTTGTCAAGACTGGGAGAGGTTGCTGTCATATCTAATATGTATGCACCAACATACAGAGTGAAAAAAATAAAGAAACAGAGGAATATGTTTCAAATAAAACTAGCCAAATCTCCAGAAACAGATCTTAATGAAACAGAGATAAGTGATTTATCTGACAGAATATTCAAATTATGATCAAGATGCTCACTGTGGTCAGAACAATTCATGAGCGAAGTGAGAATTTCAACAGAGAGAAAACAGAAATACCATGAGGCATTCATAGAGCTAAATAATACAATAGTGAACTAAAAAATTCAATATAAGGGTTCAAAAGCAGACAGGTCAAAGAAAAGAAAGGATCAATGAATTCAAAGACTGGGCAGAATTCATCCAGATATACAAAAAAAATTTTTTTTAATGAAAAAGAGTAAAGTTAGCTTAAGGGAGTTGTGGACCAATACACACATTATAGGGAGGTCCCAGAAGGAAAGACAGAAAGTGGCAGAAAAGTTATTTAAAGAAATAATGGGGTAGGAGGGGCACAGATGTGCTTCACACCTCTAAGCTAAAAAATCATCTCATTGGCACCACTGTTTATTTCCAAGTACCCTAATCCAAGCAGAAATAAGATGGACATTACAAACTGATTTCTGTCTTTATTTTTTGACTGCCATTCATTAAAGTGTTATTTCACGTAACTCGTGGTGCTGCATGTCCAGAAGTCATAGAATTACCACTCATCTGCTCCAAAGGTGGATGTCCACTTTACACACAAGACAAAAGCATCATGTATTTTGGCATGCTCTAGGTGTAGGTGCACACGCAGGAGTGTTTCTCAAGCAGTGGTCCCTGGGTCAGCAGTGCCAGCCATCACCTGGAAACTTCTTAGAAATGCAAATTTTGTCTTACCCCAGACTTACTGAATCAGAAACTTTGAGGTGCTAAACAATCTGTGTTTAATAAGCCTTCCAGGGAATTCATCAGTTACCAAAGATGAAGTAAATTATATGAAAGAGAAAAAATTAACACTTGGTTAAGGCTAACTTTTACTGCTGGTAGATGAGTTCACAAGAAACTCCAGGGCGGCTACACGGGCACACAGGGACTTCTGCAGACTTCCAGAATGAATGAAATGGGACGGGACTTGAAAACTGGATGAATTGCAAGTATGGGAGGATTCTAATGACAATGACCAGTGGAGAGCAGCCACTACAGAATCCAGTCTGTATAAGTGTTCTCCTTGACAAAACTTGACTGGTTGTATGTGGGTGATGACTGTTTGCAAGGACATGTTCAGTGAGGTGTTAATATGGGCACATTTTCTTATACAGATCACATGTCACAATCAGTTGAAAGCCAGTGAATGTGGTGTCACTGACCACATCATTAATGTAAATCAGACGAATCATAGTAGGAAACACTTTTATTCTTTAAAAGGAACTGTTTTAATAAAAAGGAATCAAAACTGTACTTGCTGGTAATCACATTGACCATTATCAGGATAGTACATGCTATTAGGAAAATGTAATTTCTTGTTTCCAAGATGATCCTTGCTGGATGATCGGCAACTATGCTATAATGATGTGAACAACACACACTATGAGCATGTTTAGTAAGCAAGACAAGAGCCGTGGCTCATTCTAAACACTTTCCTTAGCTACAGATGACCAAATAATTTGATTACATGTTTTCAGAGCTTAGAAAGGCTAACCAGCTAATCATGCCAGAGCTCAACAAACCAGCATTAATAATCACCAAAAAAGGCACTTTAAAATACAATTGACAGGGAGTGACACTAATGCAATGAGTACTGGTCTAAGCTCTGCACTAAACTTTGTCACAGTTCATACAGATAGTGCATTCTCTCTGTCTCCGTGTATATGTGTATATATAAATATATATATGTGTATATACCAACAACCATATACATATGTATGTGTGTGTACACATATATACATATATTTATATATCTCTCCATAAGCGTCTGGGTAGTGAAAAAACCCCAAAACTTTTGTTTCCTTTAATTGAATAGTACACAAAAATTCTAGTCACTTCATTTCAAACAAAGAAGGAGGGGATTGGCAAATTAACCCAAAGAAGTACCCTACTACATCTGTGTTGACAAAAAAAAGCAGTAAAATAAATACTCAAAACTTTCCTAAGTTATCAACTATTAAAATTAAGAAATCTAGCATTTTAAAAAAGTTTACTCCGCTGGAGGAAACCTGGAGGACATTTTTGGTACTGTAAATCTCAGACACTCACACATCCATATTGCTTAGGTTAAAGAGAGTGAAATGAACACAAATCTCTCCCACAAATTCCGTCTTTCAGTACCTAAGTTTTCGTTATGTTGTGTTATTACACTTAGCTTAACACATAAACAAAGTCTCGTATAAATATATTTTTAGGATGTCTAAATTCTCAGGATATTTGCAGAGTACCAAATGTACGTAGAAGACTTTTGTGAAATAAACAGGATTGGCCATATATACCAGTCTACTGCATACACCCCAGGCTTGGGTATTTTGGATCCACGTTTAGACAGACCAAATTTATCTGTCAGAGGTGGACAAAAGGCTTGCTCGTCCTTCCCAGGAACAGGTGTACAGACATGTTCTTACTTTTGAATATGAGAGAACAATTAGTAATGGCATTTAAAGTTTAATTACTAACTGTATAGTGCCTGAGGACAAAAAATCAGAGCAATTTTTGAAAGGTTAAGAGTCAGACTCTGGGCATTTCCGTTTTTTAGCTGCTGGCTCTTCAGACTTGTGTAATTCTAAAGTGCTTGCGTTGGATTTGAGACTGGGGTCTGCTTTAAGGTTATCCATGGCAACAGTGAAGCCTGAGAGAAGGTACCCCCCACCTCCGCTCATCAGTAGTTTGGGATGACTTCGATCTGGCAAAACCTAATCAAGACAGAAAGACATTCATGTTTTCCTAAGCAGATAAAGCACATGCTAACAATACGCATGCCGGAGATCAGAGTTTAAACAACACAGATTCTCTTGGAAGATTTAATTGGGTCAATTCCTAAAGAGCTCCTTCTTTCACATAATAGTGCAGATAAAAGTGTAGAAATTGGTTTAAGTGATTTTGTTTTGAAAAATAAAGCTGGAGCTGCTGCTCTCAAACCTGAGGCAAGTTTCTGGTGGCAAACGAGCAAACGGTTGGTGTAGTACCCCTGGACCTCTGCACAGCTTTCTTCCTAATGGCTCCAGGAAGCTTTGTGGTCAACAGTGGGGTTTTGGTCCACAGAGAAGTAACTACTGGACATATATCCAGAGCTTCCCTGCCCCGATACCTTGTTAACTCGAACGAGATTTCTTCTCTGCCATTATCATAACTCGATAAGATGACCGCCACAAAGGGCAGAGTCCGCTCAGGGCTTTGAGTATCCCAGATTAAGCAGTACCATGTCCAAGCGGTAGGGCAGTGCCTGTGGCGGCCATGGAGGTGCTCCCTCAGATCTCTCTTCCAGAGGGAACTGGCTGTGAGGAGTTCAGGCAGCAGAATGCCTTTAGCAGCTGCACCTTTGGTATCCTCTGCAGCATTCCCAGCCAGGGAGGTCATGGACCACTTCAAGTCGATTACTGAGCATCGGTACAAGGACCGCGACACTTCTGCTCAACATAGTGCTCCTTTAACAGGCATTCTTTGCTCTGGGGTTCCCCAATATGCTGGCTGAGATTTTCTGAGGACAGCACTGCAGGCTCTTCCTCCCCATCTTCCTTTCTCCCCCTCTTTCACAGCCATCAGACCTCCACCATGGCCTGAGGGCTTCCCCATCTAATCCTGCTTGTTTCTCATCTTTCAAAGGCATTTTCCCCAATAAATCCTTTCCACTTCTAATTCCATCTTAGCCAATGCCTTCCAGAGGACCTGAACCGGACATGGAGCCTGCCAGTAAATCCTGAAAACCTGCCGCAAAGATATCCTGGCAGAGAAAAGACAGTCACTTTCTTGTTGGCCTAGGGATTTTGTTATTATCAGTTATTCCCTCCACAGTGATCTCGAGGCCTTGAAGAAACATGAATCACAACTGTTTGCATTTTAAATGTCTCTGGACTGGAGTTACAGAGTAATAGGCCCTGACGTGAAAGGAGAAAAATGGGTCAGGAAAAGCCAAGGCACTTTCTCTGAGTTACAGGCAAGACACTCTTTCATCTCTGTCGACAGAAATAAGGGTATCTCTACTTAACAATTTCTGGCACTACTGCAAAGAGCCAGCGACTCAGGGGAGTGGCTCCCTGAACTAGCCATAAAAACACATACCTGGTAATTCCTGAGCCAGGTTTCAGAGAGCCTGAGGTTGATGACCCCTCCTCTTTCCCGCAGTTTTGTGTAGCACTCCAACAGAGGCTACGGGCATAAAAAGAGTTGAGAATTACTTTGAAGGCTGCGAATTCAGTATTAACATGCAGATGCAAAAACTCCCGTCCATTCCATTTCAGTATTACCTCTTTATACTGGCAGTAGACCACGAATGGCCTTGAAGGGGCCACGAAATCCAGCAAAGACAGCAGGAGTGGAGTGGGATGGAAACGACTAGCTACAATTAAACTGTAAGGAAAATGTTATACAAATTATTTCTCTACTCAGCAAGGCAGAGTGCAGATTTTCAAATGTGTTTAAAATGATCATTTATTTGCCATGACTCACAGGGAAAAGTTTTAAATACAACGTTCTACAAATTCAAGAAAAAATAAAATCATGGGCTATACTCTCTCAGAAACACAAAATGAATAAAAACTCTTTTGGGGGCACCTGCGTGGCTCAGTCAGTTAAGCATCCGACTTCAGCTAAGGTCATGATATCATGGTTTGTGAGTTCAAGCCCTTCATCAGGCTCTCTGCTGTCAGTGTGGAGCCCACTTTGGATCTTCTGTTCCCCCTCTCTCTATGCCCTTTCCCTGCTTGTTCTCCCCCTTCTCAAAAATAGACATAAAAAACAAACAAAAAAAAAGCTCTGTTGGTGCTCGGCAACACTAAGTAGCATTTAATGACATTCTTGATTTTTTAAAAAAAATCTGGACACAAATCCAACATTGTACTTACTGGCTTTGCGGATATCTGAATATATGGGTCTTGTCAGGTTTCCCCTAGCCTTTACCGGTAGCCAGTCTCACACCAGTCTGAATGGCCCACCACCTGCATGCAGCTGGACTATACAGACCCATCGGATACACGATCATCAGAGAAATTCCAAACTTATTCTAAAACTCTGAAACCAGCACAATTTCCCACCTCCAATGGAGGCAGCCTCCTTTCTTTAAAAACCCAAGACAAAATCATCATCTCTGCTCTATCATCAAAGCAGACAAGCAGATGAAGAATTCTAATCTGTTTGAAGCAGAGCCCATGAGCACCCAGAGATCTGCATTCCTTCATCAACGCACCCATCTGCATTTCTTTCACTCAGCAGAGCAGCAGCCTCTAAATGTCTTTTCCTTTGCTCTTCTTGTCTTCTCTGCTTTTCCTGAATCTTCAAGAAGAAAAAGAAGAAACTAAGTACTGAGGTCATTCAGTCAAGTTTATGGAAACGCTGGTCTGTCAGAACATTTCAACAATATTTATCAACTTGGACTAAAGCAACAAAAGGTCATTTGTAAGAAAGCTGAAAACACATAAATCCTTAGAGTACCTGGTATACAATGCTTCTGTATTCTAAAGTTCCATCCCAAAGATCACATCACACACATGTGTACACCCACACATTTTCTCTACCTGTTTTGATACTTATCATCTTGGGCACTGATGCTCCAAAGCCAAGCCAAATCTCTGTGCTTAAATGAAGTTAACTAAAACTAAGGGGAGTTTTATGAAGGTAGTGGGAACTCTTAATCCTCTTACGTAATCTTTTTTGCTTCCTCTCTCTTTCGGTTCCTTGTATTCTGGATCTTGAGAGACGATTTCCATCGTTTCTTGCTCCTGTGGGTGATGGCTCTCTTGGGCTTCTGCCACGCTGTCTTCATTCTCTTGTTCTGAAGTCTGTTTTTCCTCCAGAGTGCCATTACTTTCTTCAACTGAAGCACTGTCTTTAGGCTCTGAAGATAGCATCTCTGCAGAAAATGTGCCATTTAGGAGACTGTCCACTTTGTTGAGTGGGAATTCATAAAGACCACTGAGGAAAGATTTGGGAAATCCAAAACATGCTGTTGCTGCCCGAACAGGTCCACCTCCAGGGTACAGCTGAATAATGGAACCAAAGCCTGGATTAAAAAAAAAAAAAAAAAAAAAAGGCAAACATCCGCTCAATGGAGGGGATTCTAGACTATGCAAACCCTCAGGGTCCCCCCGGTAAGTCTCCACTCTGCTCAGACTCTGCATGATGATGCGGCTCTTCTGGGGTCTGTTCAGTCTATGAATATCAGTGAAGGAAATAGGTTTCCAAAACATGGGAATAAGAAGTCTTTTTTTTTTTCTTTTAAACTATTTGTTTTGAGAGAGAGTGCGTGCATATGAGTGGTGAGGGGCAGAGAGAGAAAGAAGGGAGAGAATCCCAAGCAGGCTCTGCACTGTCAGTGAAGAGCCTGATGTGGGGCTTGACCTCATGAATCATGAAATCATGACCTGAGCCAAAATCAAGAGCTGGATGCTTAGCCAACTGAGCTACCCAGGCGCCCCAACTTGAACAAGAAGTCTTAAAGCTTACCCCCACTTGACACTATGGTAAAGCCTTGTTATTGTGCAAATATGGATGTCACATGATGGGTGACTGGCTCTCAGCTTTCCCCCACTCCAATCCTCAATCAGGGCAGTTAAAAGTTCTTATCTTCTACAGGGTTAGAGAGGAGAGGCAAACCAGGCTGTGTTGTGCTCCTCCAGGACAAAATACACCCCCAGTATTCTTCTTATCCAATCCCCTCATTTCAGGCCAATAAAATAAGCATCAGCTATCTAAGAATTTACTGAAATCACCGTCATGGAGGTCCAAGTCAGACAAAGGCTTCAGAAACATCCCCACTGATGCTGAAGCTGCAAACGGTAACTGCCATTCTGGGGCACCAACCCAGCACTGGCTGGGAGATGTGGACTCTGCAGGAAGGTCCCAAGGACTGGAGCTGTGTGGGCCCATCCAAACCATTTCATTAATCTTGCAGTAACTCAGCCTCACTTTCTGTGCACTGTGAGTTTTTAGGCCCCTCTACTTATGTCATGGTGGTACTTTAATGAGCCTGAAAATGTTAAACCTTACCTCCCATTCGTTCCATCATTGCACCCAGCACCAAGCCTGCACATGTTTCCATTACAATCATTTTATTGCCAGCACGGATATTTCCCAATGTCAACATCTGGGCTAGGGTATCATATCTCATGTGGCTAAGGAAAAAAAAGAATGATTCATTTATTTTTAGCTAAGCAGAGCCAGCTAAATTAATCATCATTTCTCAAGTTTTGCTTGTTTCATAAAAATTATGTTGGTAAGATTATAGATTGCTTTGGAGGCAACAGTAAAAAGAACTTACAATTCATGAGGTAGGAGGACACTTTATGCAGGTGAGCAAGCTTTTCATTTTATTTAAAATCATGACTTTCCTTAAAGATATATTCTCCCCCAATTACACTTTTGAAAGGAAACAAAGCGTACTTGATTTTTCCAGGTTCTCTTGCATAATACATAATTGAAAGAATGCGGGTGGATGGCTTCACAACAGTAATGATGGCTTCATACCTGGGGGAAGAAAAAAGAGGACATCAGTTTTTAAAAACTGGCTTTAAAATATTTTACTTCTAATAACATATATTTTATAAACCTATAAAGATTTAATACTTTCATCCCTTTCAAAGAAAACCCACTTACTTCTTTTTCTTCTTTTTTATATATTTATCTTGAGCGAATTCTGTCTTGTCTCGGAATGTTGTACTATTTTCAATTAACTGCTGAACTATTTCCTATAATAAAAGGAGCAAGGAGATTTCCTGAAACTTTATTTCCACTGAAATGATAACTTCAAAGGTTTCTTAGCCTAGAATGTATACAAAGATCTGATTTTCCAGTCCCCTTTCCACACAAGTCCAAATGAATAAACTACATTTTTTACTTTACCTAAAACTTGTATTAAAATACAAGTACTTTGTAACGCCACTTCAAACAGGGTAAAAACAAAACAAAATAGAGATACACAATAAAGGGAGAAGGGATGTAAAGCAAACAGTCATTCCTGAAGATACTGGCTGAAAACATTACTGAAAATGAACCAAGTTAAGCTCTGATATGCACTAAGTTATTAAATTATCCTTTGCTAACAGTATCAGTGGTGTCACTCACTTACATTCCTGCATAAAAGAAATGAAATCTTTGATATACTGAATTGCATGTACACTTCAAACTATTTTTAAGAGAAACACTATTCTTACATTTCACCTTAGGTAAATCCTGCTTCAAAAACCAAATAATTTTCTCAATACCATACAAAAACAAAACGCAACCTCTTTGAGTATTACCTCTCCTTTAATGCCCTTGTCCTTTAAAGCTTTTATGTCATCTTGAGTAAGTTTCTGAGATTTCCCATCATCAATTATATTTCGATTATCAGTGCCCGCTTCTTTGGTCTCTAAGGAAGGAAATTGCTTTATGACATTTATGATTTGTAATTAGTTAAAATCTTTCTACTTCTAAGTTCATGTCCACTTCCAGCCCATCAGTCACTGAAATTTGCCCTTCTAATTCCACTGCGTCCACCCCTGCCACTACCTTTTCTTGCCATGACTGCTCCCGTCTCTAACTCATATTCTTCCCCCTCCCATTCTTGCTCTTTACAATCCTCCCAGACACCAAAGTTCTCTTTATAAAATACAAACTGGCTCATCTAATGCTCCCAAGCACAAAACAGTGGCTTCCTACAACTAGAATACATTCCAAAGATGACCTGCAAGGTTGTATACGCTCTGGCCCCTGTACTTTAGCCACTCTGCCCATCTTTCTGTTCCTTAAACACACCCAGCACAGGCTCACTGCAGGGCTCTGGCACTTGCTGCTCCCTCCACTTGAAGTACTTTTATGACAATCTCTGGGTAGATTTCTGCCTAGGTCCTTCCCATCACTTGGCGCTGAACTCATAATCTCAGCCAAGTCTCACCAACTTAGCCTCTAGTACACCTCCCTGTTTTATGGTCTTCACAGCACATACCACCATCTACAAGTATGTTGTGTGCTTGTCTACTTATTTTTGGTGTTCCCCACTGCGAAGTACATTTTATGAGATGGTTTATCTCATAAACTGTTACAATCACAGTACCTAATCATGTCTGGAACATACTTGGTGCTCAATAAAAATATGGATGCTAATTGAAAAGCATTTAACTAATTGGTTTGAACAAAAATTTTAATAGTATTTTAGTCATTTGATTTAAAAAATTAATTATTTTAATTAATAAAATATTTTAAGTACATTTATTTAACAAATATTGAAGTACTTAATTTTAACTAATAATAACTGCTAAACATATGGGCCTTTGCTACAGACCAGACACTGTTAGGAACTTCCCATGTATTGGACTGAACTCCAACAACAAGCTAGGCATTAAATTTATTTATGGATCCATTTTACAGATGAAGCTCTAAGACCTAGAGAAACCAGATAAATTGCCTAAGGTAACAATGCAAGTGATGAAACAAACTTAAACCTGGTCAGTTAAATTTGAAGCCAGATTCTCAACCTCTACCCTACATGCTAACTGCCTCTAGCTGTTATTTAACTTCTGGGCACTGAAAGGGCTCTCTACCTGCTCTTACACTGAAGTAGCAAGGATTCTTGGGATTAAAACTTTGGCCTAAAGTCAGAGAGGCAGTTAATGATGGGATGGAGCCAGAATCAAGGTATCTCAAAGTCAAAGGCAGCTCTCGCTTCATTCCACCAAGCTACAGTTCTTAGTTTGAGTTTAAATTTCTTTGGAGATAGCTTGGGTTAGCATGTGGAATAGGTTGGGGTTGACAGGTTTCTGACTAGTCAGCTCAAGAGCACCTATTTCATATACCCAAAGTAGTACACCTGAAGTAGGTTCTTCCTTCTTCTTCTTAGGCTGAAGACTTCCTCCATTGGTCACTTCAAATGTGGTTCCATAACTATGGCCAATGATGTTATCCAGATAGAACCACTGCTTTTCAAAAGTTATTTTTCTGGGGAAGAAAACACAATTAGCTGTATCTTATTTGCATTCAATATAGAAAATATATGCTTCATCAAATTTATTTCAAAACTGGTCTCCACAAAGAATAATCTCTGGAGATTATCTCTGAACATGAACTGACAAATGAACTAGAGATAACTGTGTTGGGGCAGAGACAAACTTAATAAGAAGCCACAAAAACAGTGAATTTGCGATGAGAAACAAGGACAAAAGACATTCCTCTTCAGAGGTATTGGTCTGACTCCAATTTGCACTGATGGGATGTCCTAACTCACAGCTTTGCGGATTTCCTAAATAAAGGGCCACCAAGATTGCCTGGCCATTGAACACACACTGTGACACCTCTCAAACAATCATTGAGATGGCAAGGATTTAACAAATTCCCTGGTCTAACTGGCTATTTTCTTTAAAAGGTATCTAGTAAAAGCAGGGGTGCCTCATTGGCTCAGCAGAGCATGTGACTCTTGATCTTGGGGTCATGAGTTCAAGCCCCACATTGCATGTAGAGCCTACTAAACAAAGAAATATCTAGTAAAAGCAAATTATGATTACAAATAAACATCACTGACAATCTATACATTTGGAAATGTACCTAACACTGATAATGCTGTACTGAGGATCAAGCAACTTCAGCTTTTCCCATTATCTGGATTTTTATCTTATTACCATTTAAAAGGAAAATCCCACAAAAACAAAAAACCTTTTCTTTTTCTTCAAAAAAAAAAAAAGAAAGAAAACTAACATCTGCTAAGTGTTGACAAGTGGCTGGGCAGTACATGCCAATGTGTTTCATGCTTTTTTATTTAATTCTCATAGTAATCCTGGGACAAAGCACCTTCCAGATGAGCAATCTAAGGTTTAGGAAAAGTATCTTGTCCAAGATTCATAGTTACAAAGTGGGAGCAGGGATTAAGATCCAGGTCTGCCTAACTCCAAAGCCTGGTACCTTCCACTATACCATACATACAGTCTGTCCCAGAAAAGACCAATGGATCTCAGGAAGCCCTGACTAGTTTTAGGGCATGGCCAATGCCCACAGAACTCTGAATCCTGGAAGACATGTACTGGTTAATTCTGTTTGTGCCCCACCCCACACCTTCTCCTCCTTTTTCTGTGCCCCAGGAGTCTATGACAGAATGCACAGACCACATCACCCAAGCTCCCTTGCCAAAAGTTTCCAGAGCCTAGGTCCATCACCATTCTGTTGGTTCTCTAAACCTTGCCACACCACTGTATATGTATATGTCACATCTTCATTAAGTCCCCTCCCTTGAACCACCTAAGTAAATTCCTGAGACATCCTAAGTGATCCAGACAGAGTCAATTCTTAATCTTTACTGGGTGCCCAGTTTCTAAAATGACAGAACATAAGAGACTCTGAAAATATTTGCTGACATAAATCCCATTAGAGAAACTGAAACTCTGCTCAGCCCAGATGTGCAACCCACACTCTCATCCCTTGAGGACCCCAGTGCTAATGAAACACTGAGTCTGAGATGGTTTGGGTTTACCCTGCTGGCTGGGGGTCTGGTATGCAAAGAGAGGTGTGCCACTCAAAGTGAATGGCATGACAAGAGGTCACAGCCCTAGTCAGGAAAGTGAGGACCAGTCAGAGGAATGTGATGCCATATCTTCACTGAGAAAGAGTGGGATGTGCAGTCTCTTCAGCAAGCCAAGATTGCTTTTGCCCAACCAGATGTGTACAGACCCAAAGAAGAGTGAAGGTAGTCTGACTTGGGATGTAGATGAGCTCAAAGCGTCATTTACTAAATCAAATGGAAACTAATGCAATGGCTTCTGCCAAGAAAAGTGATGAAAAGTGCTTCCAAACAAATTATGTCTAGAGTACCGTCAGAGTACTTTTTAGAAATAAAGATGCTACTGTCTGCCTTGTTGGTAATGAAAAAGCTCTCCTCTAAAAGAGCACATTATTGGGGTGCCTGGGTGGCTTAGTCGGTTAAGCGTCCGACTTTCGCTTAGGTCATGATCTCGCGGTTCGTGGGTTCGAGCCCCGCGTCAGGCTCTGGGCTGGCTGCCAGCTCAGAGCCTGGAGCCTGTTTCAGTCTGTGACTCCCTCCCTCTCTGACCCTCCCCTGCTCATGCTGTCTCTCTCTCTCTCTCTCCTAGAAATAAAAATAAAACATTTAAAAAAATAAATAAATAAAAGAGCACATTATTAACAGCCACACTCAAACATCCACTTTTAAAGTTAAGCAACTTGAGAAAAGGGCAAATGAGAAAGAAAAGAAAGAAAAACCAAAATTTCACCTGCATGGTCATTACACAGCTGTATAAACTTTTATATCATTCATCAAGCATAACCTAAGGACTTTGCTGCACTGTTGCACTTCAAATTAAAAAATTTAAATAATTAGTATTGGCTCTTTCCAAAAATTATATACTTGAAGGCCAGGAGATATTTCTAATAAGAAATTCTAGAGAAAATGGTGCAGATATTGTATTTCTGGACTAAAAGAACTCCTCCCCGTGCCCCTGCACCCCCAGCATGTCTTTTTCCTTACCAAACTGGTTCTTGTGCAATAAAACCTGGTTGTCATCAGCATGATGCTTTGGGGGCTGTTACTTGACTATTTTCTGTTTCACTTTAAATACCAGTCAACAGTTTCATTCACACAGGAATAAAATAATTTATCTGAAGGGAGTACTTACAAACTCCAAATCTCAGAGTGCCTAGACTGTGGTCTGCAGAAAGCTGTTCTCCTGACACTGAACTTAACTTATTTCATTGTCTAAAGTACTATAATACCAAACTCAAAAAAAANAAAAAAAAAAAAAAAAAAAAAAAAAAAAAAAAAAAAAAAAAAAAAAAAAAAAAAAAAAAAAAAAAAAAAAAAAAAAAAAAAAAAAAAAAGCTTGGTTGTACTTTCTGGATAATCAACAAAAACATCTCAATACATTTTCAACATTAATAACCTATTGGGATTTAAGAAGTTACCAAAAATTCCCACTTCTCTATTATTAAAATAGAGTTATAACTAATCAGCAGGTTCACAAATCAAGCCTGTTTTTAAGTTTGAGACCTTGAACAAACTGCTTTTGGGTAGTTTAACTTTCATAGACCTCCTCCCATCCCTTTGTGTAAAGTGAGGGAATCCTAGAGAGATCCTACATTCTATGGGACGTTCTTTTCCAACGTAATTATGTGTAAATGGTTATTCCAGTTTGGATACAGAAAAGAGCCCAAAGGCCAGATAAGGTTGGAGAGGTTTCATTTTTGTGGGGCTGATCCTGGCTGAGGGAGTAGGAAGAAAGGATGGTCTATGGGAAAAAGGCAGGGGAGGGGAGGATCCTGAGAGGCAAAGATAGGAGAGAATGGTTGGTGGGTTCTGTGAAATAATAGGAGAGAACATCTCAAGAACCTAGGAGAACAACCCCAGGACGGAGGGAAGGGTAAGAGCAAGGATGGGGAGGGCACTTGAGCACCCGAGGGCGAAGTATGAGAAAAGGAACCCTGTGGAAAGACCGAGAGGGATGTTGAAGGCAAAAGACCAGGTTTGAAACCTCGGAAGGGGCAGTCTACAGAAAGACAGAAAGGACAGGAGAATGGGATGTTGGGGGGAAAGGCTTCTGTGGAAAGACCAAGAGGAGAAAACGAGAAAGCGGGTTAGGGATCCACAGAGCCAAGAACTAGACCCTGGTGGGAGGGGGTTGGTGGGAAGACCTGGAGGAAGGGGGTATCTAGAAAGTGGGGACGGGGACCCCAAAGGCCAGGGACCTGACTTACTTTCTCCGCTGGACTTGCACTGCTTTGAACACATCTTCCCGTTTCAGCACCACGAAGTCGCCGTCGCGGATGCGGTGGTCCTCGGGATGCGGTGGCTGTGGGCCCGGCGACTCTCCTGGGCCCTCCATGGCGCTCAGCCGGTCTCCCCGCTCCGCAGCCTCTCTCCTGCTCCCCGCGCCCCGCCCTTCGTCCTCTGCGGCGGCGGCCGCCAGCCTCACAACCACAAATAGAGTGGACGCAGAACCCTAACACCGGCACCTCCCCCACGTGCCGCGCGCCGCTTCCGCTTTCCGGTGGGAACCTCTACGGCTTCCGTCTGGCCGAACTTCTTGATTGGCTGCACTCCTTTCCGCCCCTCCGGTCTCGCAGCACCTTGGACGGAAGTTGCGTCAAAGACGCGCCAAAAAAGAACTTGGAAGAGTTTAGCTTCGGTAGCTAAACGCCTTCCAGTGAGCCTGTGAGGCGTCGGGGAAACAGGCCTCTTGCGGGGACGTCTGGAGGGCTGCGACTGAAGAGAATCGCCGGACTTGGGCAGGGGCCGCCTGAGGAGCTCGGACCTCGGTCTCTTCTCGGCCCTGCCTAGCTTCCCCCGGGAGGAAGGGAGAGCGGGTCGGCGCACATCTACTGCTACCCAGGAACCTGCCCTGCTGAGAACCAGGAGACTCTTAGGACCTCTGTCTCTGCACGTAAGAGCCGCCCGAGGAGAACTAAATGAAGTAGGGTATTTAACGGAGCACAACAGGCCCACAACTGGCTCTTTTACTCAATTCTGCAGTCCTACGTCTTGCGTCTGTTGGAATTTTTACAAGTTATTGCCACTATATTATCTCCTTTGGGAAAGATACAGCCTGTAAGCGTTCTCGAGGGAGCGCTTCCGCGTGGATTTTGAAAACGGAGTTTGGAGTTCAGTTCTGCCACCAAACAGCTTTGATCTTGATCTGTTTCTCAGGGCTTCAGTTTCCTGACTTGCGATGTGGCCTTGACGATTATCAAAGTTCTGCCTTATCCTAACATCAGGAACTTGTTTGGGTATTAACGTATTTATTAATTAAATCCCTTTAAACAGAATCAGTTGCGGGCTTGTGTGTGTGTGTGTGTGTGATGAATAGCATTACAGTGTACGGAGATATTCTTTATTTCTTTTTATCCTTAGGATACGAGCTATTTTTGAAGATTGGCTGTCTTTTTTTTTACAGCAGTTTCAGGTTTACAGAAAAATGGCACAGAAAGTGCAGAGTTCCCTCGTATTTTTCTTCCCTCCCCACAGCCCAGGTTCCATGTGTTAACACCCTGCATTAGTGTGTTACATTCGTTACAATTAATTGACTAGTATTGATACATTATTACTAGCTGAAGCCCAGAGTTTATGTTAAGAGTTCACTATTTCCGTTGTACAATTCCATGGGCTTTGACAAACACATAATGTCATGTATCCACCATTACAATATCATACAGAATCATTTCACTGTCCTAAAAATCCCCTGTGCTACACTTAACATGAATTATTTTAAGACTTCTTTTAGGGCGTCTGTGTGGCTCAGTCGGTTAAGCGTCCAATTTCGGCTGATCTCACGGTTCGTGGGTTCGAGTACCGCGTGAGGCTTTGTGCTGACAGCTCAGAGCCTGGAGCCTGTTTCGGATTCTGTGTCTCCCTCTCTCTCTGACACTCCCCTGCTCACACTGTCTCTCACTTTCTCTCTCAGAAATAAATAAAACATTTAAATAAAAATTTAAGACCTATTTACTTCTACTTCCATCACAGAATTTATTTTTTGAATTTTATTTAAATTCAAGTTAGTTAACATATATTGTAATAATGGTTTCAGGAGCAGAATTTAGTGATTCATCACTTACATATAACATCCTGTGCTCATTCCAAGGAGTGCCCTCCTTAATGCTCATCACCCATTTAGCTCATCCCACACCCACCTCCCCTCCAACAACCCTCAGTTTGTTCTCTGTATTTAAGGGTCTCTTATAGTTTGCCTCCCTCTCTGTTTTTTTTTTTTTTTGTAATGTATTTATTTTTTGTGCCTGCTGTGTAAGTTGGGGAGGGGCAGAGAGAAAAGGTGATAGAGGATCAGAAGTGGGCTCTGTGCTGACAGCAGAGAGCAAGAGAGCATGATGCAGGGCTTGAACTTGGATACTGCCAGATCATGACCTGAGATGAAGTTGGACCCTTAACCGACTGAGCCACCCAGGTGCCCCTTTTGTTTCTTAATTTAAAAAAAATTTTTTAAATGTTTATTCATTTTTGAGAGACAGAGGGTGAGTGGGAGAGGGACAGAGAGAGGGAGACAGAATCTGAAGCAGGCTCCAGGCTCTGAGCTGTCAGCACAGAGCCCGACTCAGGGCTCAAATCCACGAACCGTGAGATCATGACCTGAACCAAAGTTGGACGCTCAACCAACAGAGATGCCCAGATACTTCAGCCTGTTTTGCTGCTTAAATTCCACATATGAGTGAAATCATATGATATTTATGTTTCTCTGACTGACTTACTTCATTTAGCATAATACACTGGTTCCACCCATGTTGTTGCAAATGGCAAGATTTCATTCTTTTTGATCACCTAATAATATTCCATTGTTTATAGATACACCACATCTTCTTTATCCATTCATCAGTCGATGGACATTTGGGCTCTTTCTATAATGTGACTATTGTTGATAGCGCTGCTACAAACATTGGGGTGCATGCACCCCTTCAAATCAGCAGTTTTGTATCCTTTGGATAAATACCTAGTAATATAATTGCTGGGTTGTAGAGTAGCTCTTTTTAATTTGTTGAGGAACCTCCATACTGTTTTCCAGACTGGCTGCACCAGTTTGCATTCCCACCACCAGTGCAAAAGTGTTCTCCTTTCTCCATATCCTCGTCAACTTCTGTTGTTTCCTGAGTTGTTAATTTTAGCCATTCTGACAGGTGTGAGGTGGTATCATTGTGGTTTTGATTTGTATTTCCCTGATGATGAGTGATGTAGAGCATCCTTTCATGTATCTGTTAGCCATCTTGATGTCTTTGGAAAAGTGTCTATTCATGTCTTTTGCTCATTTCTTAATTGGGTTGTTTGTATTTTGGGTGTTGAGTTTGGTAAGTTCTTCATAGATTTTTGATACTAACCCTTTATTCAATATGTCTTTTCAAATATCTTCTATTCCATTGCTGGCCTTTTAGTTTTGGTATTGATTGTTTCCTTTACTGTGCAGAAGATTTTTATCTTGATGAGATTCTGGTAGTTCATTTTTGCTTTTGTTTCCCTTGCCTCCAGAGACACATCTAGTAAGAAGTTGGTGCAGCCACGGTCAAAGAGGTTGTTGCCTATTTTCTCCTCCAGGGATTTTATGGTTTCCTGTCTTACATTTAGTTCTTTCTCCTTTTTGAATTTATTTTTGTGTATAGAGTAAGAAAGTGGTTGTTTCATTTTTCTTCATGTTGCCGTCCGGTTTTTCCAGCACCATTTACTTAAGAGACTGTCTTTTTTCCATTGGATGCTCTTTCCCGCTTTGTCGAAGATTGGTTGGCTAAATATTTGTGGGTCCATTTCTGGGTTCCCTATTCTGTTGCATTGATCTATATGTCCCTTTTTGTGCCAGCACCACACTGTCTTGCTGATTATAGTTTTGTAATATAGTTTGAAGTCTGGAATTATGATGCCATCAGCTTTGGTTTTCTTTTTCAACATATTACATTGGCTATTCAGGACTTTTCTGGTTCCCTACAAATTTTAGAATTGTTTGTTCTAGTTCTGTAAAGAATGCTGGTGTTATTTTTGATAGAGATTGCATTGAATGTGTAGATTGCTTTGGGTAGTATCAACAGTTTAACAATATTTTTTCCTCCAGTCCATGAACATAGAGTGTTTTTCCATTTCTTTCTCTTCTTCATTTCTTTCATAGGGTTTCTATAGGTTTCTGTGCACAGATCTTTTATGTCTTTGGTTACGTTTATTACTAGGTATTTTATGGTTTTTGTTGCAGTTTTAAGTGGGATCAATTCCTTGATTTCTCTTTCCCCTGCTTCATTATTGGTGTATAGAAATGCAGCTGATTTCTGTACACTGATTTTATATTCTGCAATTTGCTGAATTCGTGTATCAGTTCAAGCAGTTTTTTGGTGGAGTCTTTCAGGCTTTCCATGTAGAGTATCATGTTGTCTGCGAAGAAGGAAAGTTTAACTTCTTCCTTACCTATCTGGTTGGCTTTTATTTCTTTGTGTTGTCTGATTGCTCAGACTAGGACCTCCAACACTATGTTGAACAACAGCGGTAAAAGTGGACATCCTTTCACATTCCTCATCTTAGGGGGAAAGCTCTCCAGTTTTTACCCATTGAGGATGATACTCACTGTGGGTCTTTTGTATATGGCTTATATGATCTTGACTTATGTTCCTTCTGTCCCTACTTTCTTGAGGGTTTTTATCAAGAAAGGATGCTATGTTTTGTCAAATGCTTTTTCTGCATCTATTGAGAGGATCATGTGGTTTTTATCCTTCCTTTTATTAATGCAATGTGTCACACTGATTGATTTGCAGATATTGAACCAGCCCTGCATCCCAAGAATAAATCCCACTTGATCGTGGTGAGTAATTCTTTCAATGTATTGTTGGATTCGGTTTGCTAGTATCTTGTTGAGAATTTTGCATCCTTGTTCATCAGGGAGACTCATATGTAATTCTTTTTAGTGGGGTCTTTGTCTGGTTTTGGAAACAAGGTAATGCTGGCCTCATAGAATGAGTTTGAAAGTTTTCCTTCCATTTCTGTTTTTTGGAACAGCTTCAAAATAGATATTAACTCTTCTTTAAATGTTTGATAGAACTCCTCTGAGAAGCCATTTACTTTTGTTTGTTGGGAGAGTTTTGATTACTGATTCAATTTTTTTTTTTTTTTTTTACAAATAGTTTATTGTCAAATTAGTTTCCACATAACACTCAGTGCTCATCCCCACAAGTGTCCTCCTCCATGCCCATCCCCCCCTCCCCCTGATTCAATTTTTTTTAACTGGTTATAGGTTAAAACCCATTTTAAAGGTTACTTTTATTTTGAATCTTTGATAATTAGCCAGAATCTATCATTGAGTTTTAAAAAAATGAGTATCTTGCTATGTACAAAACAAAAAATGTGAAGGGATAATTAGAAAAAAAAAAAAAGATTATGTTAACAAATATGTTTCTTTTAAAAAAAAACAATTGCATTTCAATGAATTTATTTAAGAACTACAAATAACTCATCTAATCAATACTGATCTAGGAATGATCTTTCTTCCATTGCTTCTT